GTCTTTCAGAGGAATCTGGTGGGAAAATATTCAAGAGAGAAATGAAGTCAGGACCAGTGCCAAATAACATATGGAGTCTGGTGTGACTGGGACGGTTTAAGTCCTGTTGTGTTCACACAATAACTGCAAGATGCTGATACCCTAGTAGTTTTAAGCCCTGCAAAAAGGGAGTTTCTAGGGACATCTGATGTAGATGTGCACCTCAAGTGTTGATTCACAAATATGTAATGTATTAATTGCAAACTCCTTGTATATTCCTGTGGCTTTTAGAGAGAAAGTCTGTGAAGTGAAGACTATAATAGGCTGTACTCTCAGGAAGTTTACAGACCTCACATAGGAAGTAAAGTATTTTTGCAAACACCAGAAACAGCCAACCAACGTGAAGGTTACCATCTTACCTCAAATCAAGACAAATGCTACTTGCTTAACACAGGCAGCAATAAATAATTCAACTAAATTACAATCATTTTATGGTTTGGCTGTAACAAGCCCCCAAAATGTTGTTGTTTGACATTTATGGTTGCTTCATTTGAAGAGTTTTGGTCAGGATTCAGTCAGAGCAAAGCAATAACAAGTCAGATACTGATGTTTATTGATTCATACAAGCATTTTTCTGGTTGCTCTAAAAGGCTTGTTGTTATGAAATAAGTAATAATTGGTCAGCATCTTGTTTTTTTATTATGTCTAAGGCTGGTTGGAAAAAATTTACTTTTCATAAATGTTGGATCTTTGTTTTATAGGCAATTATTAGAAAATTATACAGCAAAATAATTTGGGGAAAACGCAAGTCTTCCAGGGTTTTCATAATGGTAAAAAGGTGAAAATTCATACCCAGTGACTTACCACAAAATCATCAAAATATCAGATTAGGAAAAAGACCCAAAAAACTGTCACAGTGTGAAATAATAGACTTTGCCAAACCACAAGTTCAGTTTTACTTTCCAGTCAAGTAAAATTACCTTAGAGTGCAAAACAGAGAGCAGAAACTAGACAATTTGGGCCCAGCAATCTTGGACATCACATTTGTAAGAGACATCCTAATTTATCCTTGACCACCTCACCCACTTGAAGCCTTATCCTTTCTGGTAAAATAAACAGACAGGCCACCAAGTGATGGAGAAGGATTAGCAGCTTCCCAAGGCTGAGAAAAGAGGTTTAAACAAAGTCCAAAAGAGAAATGTATTCCCCATCAACTGCAACATTGGGAAATACTTAATATGCAAATAACTAAAGATATTAGGCTTCTGTCTGTGACAGGAAGGAGAACATTTATCATTTTTTCACACGCCAAATGTTTCTTCATTAAAAACATGTAATTAGCGGCTATGTTCATCGAACTGAAAAAAACATTTAATGTCCCTAGAATGTTCTTTATTGAGGTTGTGAGAGCACACACCGCTCACTTTTTAATTAATTCTTGCTTATCCAAAGATAGGATGTGAAGCATTTGGAAATGGCACAAAATAACCATAGAAAGAAAGAATATTAGCAACCTAGCTGCTGAAAAAAGAAACAGTCTCCTTGTAGCTGATGTTAAAAAGTCTGTATTTGTGTGCTGTCATGTAAAAGCTGCATGAGTGTTAGAAAACTATTTAAACAGTAAATCAAAATCTGCCATAATAACAGTAAATGTCTGCATCAATTTGGACTGCACCATTTAGTCACCAACACACATACACACATGCTAGTAGAGCCCCAGGAGGTTCTGGCCCATATGGTAAACACACTGTTTGTTCTGTAGCTGTGGCACCTGTCTTTCACAATGATTTATCTGAGAAAGCAAATGGATGTGTGTCACAATCCTGTCCTTGGGAAAAATCCATCTGCCTCATTTGTAAAAAAAAAAAAACAAAACAGATCAAGTGATGACAGACAAAGACAGGACTCCATCTGGGAACAAAAGCAAAAGAGTGAATTCTTTGAGAAAAAAAACCCTCAAAGGGAGGGCTAACTATATGAGCTACATTGAAATATTCCTATTGCATTGGACTATAGAAATGAAGAGCTACTCAAAATATGTGAATGCAAAGCATCATAAGCGTTGTCATTGGCGTTTCTCAGATCTCAAGGCACAAAACAAACACAGACACTAGTTTTCAGTCTTAATAAGCTTAAAACTACAATGGTGCTCACACTTTCTCTAGAAAATACATATTTAAAAACCAAAAAAAGCCAGGCCAAAGTTTTCACTCTTGCCATGCATGTTGGGAATGAGGCACTTTGAGTGAAACAATATGTTCGGTCATAGTTATGACATGTGTCGTTTATGATGTGCCTCAATTTTGTACAACGTATTTGTGTTAGGATTAAGTGTGTCAATGTTGCACAGATTTTTTATTTTTGCTTTGAAATTTTCAATTATGACCAAATGATCACCTAACCATCTTTGGATGAAAGTTCTACACTTTACAGGAAGTCAAAGAGTGCCCCCCAGAGGTCAAATCAATATTAACTGAATTAATCAAAAATAAAGTGAACAGTCTTGCCGTTGGAGTCACTTCAAGAATTCAACGTCCTAGTGTTGGTGAATCACAACACTAGATAGACTTTATACAGAATAATTACGACTCACGTGGTCTTATTATTAGGTCAATTACGCAACATGTATGCAGCACTTGCACTATTTCTGTAGCCGTGGTACATTAATTCGATTCAACTCTAATACAACTTTAGCAGCTGAAGCATTTACTGTTTCTGAAATATCAACAGCAGCCTGGATTAGCTGCCATTGAGATCAAGTGCTAAGATTACAGTATGATGCTGTAGATATCATTTAACCCTCCTGTTATGTTGCAGGTCAAATTGATCCGTTTTAAAGTTTAAACATTTTTTTTTTTTTAAGTTGGAAGTATTTTTTATTATTTTTTTGCATGAAACTTTTCCTATTTGTCTTAACAGGTGCACTCCACATATAAATTGAAAATTTATTCATTTTACACATTTGGCTCCTCCAACTCTCCTGCATCTCTATTTTACATAGATACGGGAACATCTCTATTTTACATAGATACGGGAACACCCACACTCAGTGGACACTCACCACAAGTGGGGGAAAACATAAATACTCTCTGCATGACTCATTTGTCTTGATTTTAATCAGCGGGTCAGTTTGACCCAGAACATAATACATGTCTCAGGTTCAATTACAAAGATCACCCCTTGAAAAAAACAAAACAAAATCTAATATAAAAAATTTTTACAAAAGATCAATTTCAAGGATAATTATTGCTTTTTTTTGTGTCTAGGTTTTTTACTCATTTACTCCAAATGAGTAAATGAGTAAGTTGTCGTCATTGATACTTTATTTGTGAGAAATAATTAAAAAAAAAAAACCATCATTGCACAAATATTGATTGAAATAGTTAGTGTTGGAGTTAATAATCAGATACAAATATTTTTTTTTGTTTCTGACATTATTGCATGATTAAACACTCCACCGGTCAAATTGACCCAGGAACATTATTGCTGTACCTCAGAAATGAACATGACAGGAAGATTAATGACTTGTGTACCTATATTCAGCAAAACTCTTTAAATGTAGTTAAAACTGCATATGTAGCTGTTTTCTTAACCATTTCTTTATTGTAACCTTTTCCATGGACAACTGACTACTTTGCATTTTGAACATATCCTGAATCAATGTATTTTTTTTTATTAATTTAAGCAAAATATTTTCTTTAGTGACCCCAAATACAGAACCTTTCTACAAAGCTATCAGTTTCTTAAAATAGAAGTATGCATCTTTTATTATAAAGCATTTGCTCTTATATTGAAACTGAGTTGTCCATTTTTTTTTTAATAACACAGTTCTGATTATAGTTTATTATGGATGTTAAACCTGCACTGAAGTAGAAGAGAAAATGCAAAAAAGGTAAAAAAAAAATATAAATAAAAATGTCTTCCTTACTCTGACGGCAACAAGGAATGACATAGTAAAAGTGTAGAGAGAATCTAATCTGCAGAGACAAGGCATCATGGGCATTTTTTCACTGTGAAGTAATGCTGTTTTCTTGTCAGACAGAGGGAAGAAAAAGAGAACAGATGCTGAGGATCTGGTCTTACTTCTGGATGCAACATTTGCAACAGAGCCTGAACAAATCTCAGAATTACCAACCTCAGACTCATTAACTGTGGCCACAGGGTGTGGTAGCATATTTGATTAATTAGTCAAGAAAATCGAACCTATCCCTGAGGCAAACAAAGTTATTAAACTTTAGCAGCTGAACATTTCACAGCTGAAAGAAACAACAAAAACTGTTTGACTTTGATCAATATTACGATGACCAAAATAGATTATAAACATATTTTTGTTGCTACCAGGTCTTTCATTAATGCAATAAAAAGCCCCTGAAATCCAAAGTGCAAATTGAGGTTGATTTGCATCCCTGGAATGATTTTGTAAGGCGTCTGGCTGCAATTTGGGAATGGTAGAAGTTTGAACTGCCAAGGCCAGGAGGAGAACTGTAGTGGAAATGTTTCACTGACAAGTTATATTATTCTAAAATATGGCATGTAAATAAATGATAAAATATAAATTAGTTTATTAATATGGGTTTTGCCCTTTTTTAATCTAGTGAGTTAGGACATAAGCATCCAGTGATTTTCACTCAAAAGGTCTGGGTTCAAGCATTATACTAAATTAGCATTCTCTGGGAAGGAGTGGTCCATATCCTGTTGTTGTGAAACATACAAAAAATTTTGCAACGCCAACAAAGAAACAAATTCTCAATTAGAAAAATGTGTTTAAAGTTAATGTGGATTTCAATCAAAAATATTTTCTAGCATTGGTTGCAAAACATTAATTCAGTCCAACTCAGTTTAAAACTCCAATTTACAACATGCCAAAAAAATTGTAAAAACAAAAGTTACATATGTGAACATGTGAAAAAAGGCATATTGCTCTAATGTACATCATAATATCTAATGTATGTGGGTATAGAATTAGTTCTTCATAGTCAGTCTACAACAGTCCATCTCTGTTTGTTCTTATTTTGCAACAGGAGTGATGGCACAGGATGGTGTGAGAGGCGATGGGATTGTAAAGACTACTGCAAATCCTGGTAAGATGCCAAGTCATAAAATATATTTTAGATGTACAGGTAAGAAAAAAGAGCTTGGTTCTCAAGTTCCCATAAAAATATATTTGTTTTAATAATCAAAGCATAAAGAAATTTTCTTCAGAGGTAAATTAAACACTAATACAGCCCTCTAAAATGCTTTTTTCCCCTGCTCTGGCTCACACATTAATCATAAAGTCTTGTTTTCTTCAGGTACAAAACCACCAGGTCAAGTGGAGGTTCTCCCCACACCAGAGACAAACAAGCCTTCTCCACAGACACCTAAACCAGAAGGTGACAGCCCTTCAGACACACCAACCACTGTATCTTTGGAGAATACAAAAAATAATATGAGTCACACAGAACCACCGGCTGTAAATCCAGATACCCCAGCACCCAACTCAGCCAGAGGGGACAACCTACCGGGGGTAAGTTAAATAATGGCCAGCAAATCCCTCCAGAGGGGGAAAAAAAGTCAATTTCTGTGGAATTACACATGTTAAATACACTCAGCACTGTTCTTATACCCAGCTCCTCTATACAACCTAGCAGCACTCATAAGCTTACTCATAAAGAAGAGATGAAACATTCTGGTTTCTCCCTGCAGCCTGTAGAAGTCATCTGCGTGACCAAAGACATTGTGGAAGAAAAAAACGCTGTTCTTGTGAAACTGAAGTCATCCACCAAATGTGTAAGTTCAAAACAATTTTAACTTAGTCTTTGTCTTACATACTTGTGTTTTAGAATATTGTGGCTTTACTGGAAGTCAATTTCAAAATTTCATTTCAAACTGCACCACAATGACAAACAGTGTCTCACTAGCTTTGTTTATTCTCCCTAGGTACCTATCAGCTTTCCAAACTTAACCTCAGCAGCATTTTTTTTTCTCATTTTATCTGTACAAACACTTCAGAAGCCAAGTGACTCAGTGAAATTGTGTGCATATACATTTGTTTCCAAAACAGCCTGGAAAGTCCAACAGATTTCTCCTGCAAGTACTGTAAACCAAGGGCAAGGACTGTGAAGACAGTGGGAGGGCAACATAATGGGTGGGCCTGCTGCTTCTGTAGAATACGTAATGTGTAATAGCCTGGGGCAGAAATGTGGGTGTGTGTGAGTGTATGTTTCTGTTTATAAAGATAAATTCCTCGGTATCTCACTATAAGAGCTTTAGGGTCTGCAGCTTTTATGTGGATGTCTGAACTTACTACATCTGCTCTTTGTTAGCTTTGGCTAGTAGGCAGCATAAAGACACAAATACATTATTTATCCTTTAAACAATGGATACAGATTGCAAAAATGCAATAGTTGTGCACAGTCAACCAAAGAGATTAAATAAAAGATGTTCTTTATGAAATATAATGCTGCTCGTGCCAAAACACATTTGCCTCTCCTAAATAAAATCTGGCTTAAATAGGGAACCAATATTGCCCATGTAAATGTGCTTTGGTTTGAAAGCCTTCACTCTGGTGCTATGCACAGAGTTGCTGTTTCAGGAATGGTATGCAGAATTCCTTATCTGTATTTATATAAGAGCTGAACCTGTAAGAGTGTTCCTGGCAGGATTCTCGAAGATATGTGCGTAAGCATTTGGATAAAAGGTATTTTGGGATTAGCAATGAAAGTCATGTTTAATTCCCAATTATTTAAACCTTTCAGGAACTAAGTTAGAAACATCTCTGAGGTCATTGTAATGCATTCTTTGCAGGGAGACACACAGGCAAAAATTATAAAGGTTCTTCCTGAACTGTGTGGTGAAGAGTGTAAGCTGGAGATCTATCAAGAAGATGACACAGATCACGTGCTTGTGTCTGGGAAGTATGTAGAAGGTCAGTATTTTAAATTATGATAGTCACAACCCATAAGCCATCATTTTCCTGTACTAACACCATGTATTCATTTTTAAATTTCTGTTTATTTTTATGTTTTTTGCTTGTTTTTTTTTTTACATTTGCAGATGATGTGATAGGCATGGTAAACAAATTCAACAATGACAACATAAAGGACACAGTAAGTGAACTATTTTTCTAAAATTCTACTTGCAAAGCCATTTTTTTCGCATTGCGCTTTGTGCTTATTCAGCTCATTCAGTTTTGTCATAACTTTACTACCATGTTTTGCCAACCTCTTTCCTGCTGGTAAAACCGAGGCACAGCCAGAGAAATCCCACACGTCTAACCAACGCCGTAAATTACACCATTTACCATGAAGGGTCTGTGAAGGAGCTTTCTGAAGGCAGTCACTTTGATTGACTCAGTCAGCTGAACTCGGTGTCTGATTTATAATCAAACTTGAGAAACACAAGGGAAAAGGGGAAACAGTCCCCCGAGGCAGGAGATGGTCTCTGAGGTTTTATGCTGCCAGTCTGACAGCTGGTGTTAAAAACAAAAAGCCCACAAACAATCCACACGTCAGCAGCAAAACATTTTTCTGACACCTTGGACCAATTTTGGGTTATGGGCGAGTCGATCTTAACCATTTGTCTCTTTGCTTTCAACATACTCAGCATTTCCCTCATTACTCCATTATGAACTAATTTAATAAAACAAGCAATGAACTTACAGACTTTTTAATAAGACATAAAATTTTTCCTTCACTATCTAACATTATGTCACACCATTTCTTTTTTTTTTTTTTTTTTTAATTTTACCCTTACCTTCCCCATTAGGAAGTTTAGTCTTTTCTATAGTAGTTAATATAATTGCCATTTAAATTGTATGAGTTGGGTCATGCACATTTTATTTCTGGCACACAGAACATCTCCTTCCTGATCTGCATGATAGCTAAAAAATTTTCATTCTTGTAGATATAATTGTTTGAACGGATGAGCGTGGCATTTTCAGGCATCTGGAAATTGTACAGAGAATCCCAGAGGTCCATAATTCTCCTCATGATATCTTGCTGAATTTCTGTTGAGTTTTCCATGATGTCAGAATCAAGCAGTTTGAGACTTTGCCCTAAAACACATTCCCAGATGTGTCTCCATTTAACTTAAATGTTATGAATTAAGCTATCAAAAGGATACAAAGCCATGATATCATCTTCTGAACTTTTCCATATTGTTTAAAGTCATAGTAATTATAGTGTTTATAGTAAACATCGGAACTTGAAGAAAGAAAGAAAAAAAATATTTTAAAAGTAATATTCCTCTCATAAAACTGGCATTTCACAAAAAGAAACAAGCTTGTTCATTCCAGCTGACCTTATCAGCCAACAAGTATATATTAACTTCAAATTCCTTTTAAAAATAGCCAAACAAAAGGCAAATCAACAACTAATGAACAAAACAAACAACATGAATTATAATTTACTCAATAGAAAATATTGACTGAATTATGAAGACTCAAATTCCAATAAGTAAAAGTAATTAAAAGTCTAAGAATAGCAAGGAGCTTTTAGGGCTTTGAAATTGAAAAAGTGGATTTTATGTCCTAATTCTGTTTTCTAAGAGAAAGTGGAGAAGAGAGAAGAGGTCATAGTGTACAGACATACATTTGGGTTTGATCAACTCCAGCAGCATCAGACAACAGTCACAGCATAACAAAACGGAGCACCTAACACACCCCATCCATCTTATAGTTTTTAATATTCACAGTAAAAGTTTGATTGAATTAAACAGCATTTACATTGAAAAGGTTTGACACAATGACTCAATATTTAAATTTTGTGTTAATCATAAACTCTATATATTTTTCTATATCCCAAAATTATCTAAATGTTTATATATATATATATATATA